TACCAAGGTTGGGCACTCCAGTGAAGCGGCTCGACTGATCCACCGAGGGAAAACGGCCGGAACTTCCCTCCAACTGTTCCAATCGCCTCCAAATTCCGCCTAGGTAACACACGATAGTTCTTCTTTCCATTCGTTATCTTGCTTCAAGACTCCTTAGCACCGAGAGCGAATCAAAGATCGCAAATCTCTGCAACCTTTCCCGTCTGAAGCCATCGACTGAGGCTCGGCTTGAACTCCGCGTTAACGTTGAAAGATAGCGACACGGTCTGAGACTCAAATCACTCACACTCGGGGTGGGAGACAGTCTCTTGCTCCCGTTGTTTTCCTATTGATGTCAACGGGAACAAGAGACTGTCTCCCACCCCGAGTGTGAGTAATTTGAGTCTCAGGCCGTGTCGCTATCTTTCAACGGTAACGCGGAGTTCAAGCCGAGCCTCAGTCGATTAGCCTGTGTACAGACGTCGTCCCTCCTGAGGGAGGGGGGACGTTTGTACACAGGCTACAGTCGATGGCTTCAGACGGGAAAGGTTGCAGAGATTTGCAACCTTTGATTCGCTCTCGGTGCTAAGGTAATGTGTGGGAGTACCCCCCCCCCCCCCCCCGGGGTAAACCTTTATATAGAGAGAAAACCGTTTACATAAAAACCCAGAAAACGTCCATAAATCGGCCCGTGGACCACACAGGAGAGATGTAACACACATTTTAAGTAAGGTAAACTGTTTTTTATTGAAATCCTTTCATTTTCGTTCGTTACAGAAACGATAGGTTTTTTCTCCCATACAAATTCTTATATTTTGAATGTTACGCAACAATGCCGATGCTCGAAAATTCATTAAGTATTGATGTCAGATACCCAATATCCGGCCAGTTTTTTCTTTGCTGTGCAGAAATCGATGAATAAGCTGCGTACATTATCCGGGCAAGATTTATTTCATATCTATAACAATAGTTAAAGCCGTAGGATATATAATATAATACTCAACCCCTTATGGAAATTTTCTTCACTCATTCAGAGGCGAATTGATTTCGTGTGCACGGCTTGTTTCGCGTGACTGCATTTTCTACGTAGGGACCGATCGTTTATTACGTCCCGGCGGGGAGGGGCGTTCAGAAAAGTGTGGTGTATCAAAACTAGGGCGGGTAGGAGAGAGCCCTGGGAACGAGGTTGAAAACAGTGACGCTATCAAGGAGGTTAGAAGCAAAGGGCGAGATGTGTACCCTTTAGACAGGCAAATTCTGTTATAATGCCATCAATATCAATTACGTCCTTGTGCTCATATGCAGAATTGCAAGAGAACTTAATCAGTCTCGTCTGTCATGGTCCTACGTAAAGGGGTTTGCAGTCTCTTCATACCGCTGAAGCTACGCTCAGCTGTGCTTGTTGACACAGGGTAAGTCAACAAAGATATGAGAGCTACATATACTCTGGGATAGAGTTGGCTCCACAATGTGAGCACAGTTGCTGACAAGGCCTATGAGTAGGAAACCAGTCTAATGCGTTAAATAACGAACTACATGTAAATACACAGCTGGCCCAAGCGTAATATGCTTGGGCCACCTGTGCTTTTACCACTCACGAATAAATGGCGCCGATTTTTGAACCGTAGTTGATCTTTTCGATCGAGTTATGCGATCCAGACGCAAGGTTTACCGGAACGGATTGCAGGAAGGTGATCTTAGGGCTTCACTTTGTGGATTCGGTGGCGTAAAATGTAAGTATGTTTGTTTTTTCGCGTGAATTTTGGAGAATTGGAGCTGATTCTGAGCAGCTTTGAAGATCAATGGGGCGATTCTATCTTACCTTGTCTATTTATTATTACACTGTCAGGTCAGATGATGTAAAAGTACTCAAATCGCGCTGAAACTTCGTAAAAACAAAGACAACGACTCCAGGTAACAATATTTACACTTTATTGAGAACTTTTATCGCTTTTACTTCATTTAATTCATCTAAGTTTCTAACCCTATTTTTCCCATAGAAACTCTCATATTACGCCACAGGTGGCCCATATTACGCTTGGGCCACCTGTGCTAAATACACACGTCAGTTAAATAAGTAAATAAAGCGCGCGCGCATTAAAATTGCCCGCGCACACACAAAACCTACTTCAACAAGAATACTGAAATCATTAAATTAGGAAAGGATATAATAGCGAAGCGCGCGAATAACGTCAGAGTGACTAAGAGCCTGTTTACATGAAGGTGGGGGACCCCAGCTGGGTGACGTAACATGGGGCGGGTTACCCCATCTAACATGTAAACTTGATCACATTCAAATGAGAAATTATATCGACAGGCGGGTTACCCCACCTAAGCTGGTTACCTCACCTATGTGGGGTACCCCACCTCCATGTAAACAGGCCCTAATTTGCAATTTTTGTCTGAGTTTTGCCATTTTCCCCATTTCAATGACAAAAGACAGACAGACATTATACACTTAGACCCTGTTTACATGGAGTGGGGGACCCCGGTCTAGTGGGGTTGGTTTCTTTTGTTTTCACGCTCTGGGGGACACAAAACAAAAGAAACTTACCCCACTAGACCGGGGTCCCCCACTCCATGTAAACAGGGTCTTAATGTCAGATCCCGAGGGAGACAGTTAGTTTTGTTTTCCCAAGAGTCCTGATGTTTCCCGAGACGAAGTCGAGGGAAACATCAGGACTTGAGGGAAAACAAAACTAACTGGTTTCCTGAGGGACCTGACATTAAGTGTTTTGTTATATTCTAGACTTTCACTTCAACGTACTTCAACAGCAACAAAATAATGCGCTAAAGAGGAGTGAATCAAAACAGTACGACTCGGTACTTATAAGAACACAAATTTAATTCTCAAAACCACTGCATGAATGATTTAAAAAGTACTTTCCTTATATTATCTGCATCTTCCTCCACTAGCTGCTGCTTCTCTTCTGGGATAACTTTGAAAATCGTTGCTTTTTAGCTTGAGGCTTCATCAGGGGCGGATCCAGGATTTTTTTTAGGAGGGGGTGCACTCGTCTCTTGCTCTACTTTAACACCAATAAACCACATAGTTTTTTTTTGCAGAATACCAGTTGTATTAGAAAACCGCAGGTCATCTCGGGGGGGGGGTGCACCCTGCACCCTCCCCCTAGATCCGCCCCTGTTCATGTTTGTGTTGTTGTGAATGTTTTTGTGTTCATTCACGTAACAGAAAACTGGCAGTGTTTTTCCCGCCTTCTGTCACGCCACTTTCCACCATGCTCTGATCACATGCTGTAAAGTATCCCGAGCAGGGTACATTGCTTGATGTATCACGATCGGGATGCATTTGATTTTAGTCAAGGCCACGTGACCAAGAATCAGTCAATGGCTGCCCCTGTTTAGTTGAGTGAAAGTCTAGGAATATAACAATACATTTTAATGACAAAGGCCAGACAAAAGTGAGGGATTCGCTTATGTTAATTTCAGTTTGTTTGTCTGAGTTTCTATAAATAGAAGACAGAAGTCACTAACAGCTTTTACCAAAAAATGTCCCTGGATATGTTTTCTTGGCATATTCAATTTTCGAAAGTTTTGGTTGAATGGAAAGCGGGCATATGCACAGACGAATGTGTCTTTAAGTCCGTTAGTAGCAAAAGTTTATTCAGTCAAACGGCAGTAATTTTTGCCGCGGG